ATTGAACGCATCACACGAAAACTTTTTCCACTTTGTCATAGATTTTCTTTTCTAAAACTGTTCTTGATATATTAAAATTTCTATATCGTTTTTCCATATATGGTAAAACCAATATTCTATATAATATGTTCTATGAATGTGGCTCAGTAGATTCTTTTTTTTTTCAGGACCTTTCAAAATGTTGTGATGTCTATGCCCAATGTTTGTCTAATGATTCTGGTCGATTTTCCTTCTTTCTCATCTTCAAAATGGCTTGCTTTGCTCCCCTAAACAGCTCTCCGTCTTCATGTTGGTTTATCGTTTTTATGCAGTTTTTGCAGATGAAATCGAAAGCTAAATCCAAGAGTAGTTATTCAGCGCTATTTAATGTTTAAACGATAAATCTAAAAGGCAACACCTGGGCAACAAGAAACATCTGTCAGTCATGTGTAGTTCTGCTCACTTCAAAAAGAGAAGAATAGGTTGGGTTCAAACAAGGTGGTATGTCCCAAGGTGTAACACTAAATAAAAGATGAAAATCTGAACTCTTGTCTTATATTAATCTTTTTTTCGGAGAACAAAAATAAAGAAATTGGCCTTGGCGTTCCAACACTTTTAGAGAGGACTATATATATATATATATATATATATATATATATATATATATATGTGTGTGTGTGTGTGTGTGTGTGTGTGTGTGTGTAGATATATCCATGCGATATCATATTTATTGTTTAATATAAATATCCATCTATACATCTATGTATGCATATACCCATCTTTAAATTTATCCGTTGTATTTATGGAATGTTTTTACGAAAAAAGCGTTGCAATATAAGGGACCTGATTTGACCGATAACAAGTATAAATGTAAAATGGTATTAGTATATAAATGTTATATGCACTTTAAAATTATGTTACTATGTTCGTAATAAATTTTGATTATTTTAGTTATTTTAATTATTTTAAAATTAACTGTTGTGCATACGATATTTATAAACAAGTATTCCCAATGCAAGGGGGGTAACCAAAGACGGTAAATGCAACATGATGTAAAGTGTTAGTAAACACGAATTTTAAAACAATGTTACTACACTAGTAATAAATTTTGTTGAGTGTGGGTTGATTGATTTTGATATAGAGGACCTCAAGAATTTGAAGTTTCTGTCTATTGTTTTTGTTGTGTACATATTGGTGTTGTCAACAAAGATTTTCCTGTATTTTGAAGTTAGATAGAAATGTGTTCTAGATGTTCGCGTGTGTTTTGAAAAATCTCTATGACATCGCAATGGAAATTCTATCGCAGCTACAATCGCATTTTGGTCTCTGGAATTTACCGCTGAAGATGATCTTAGAAAATTTGAAAGTACTTGGCTAAAGAACTTCTACATCTTCCTTGATAGATTTCATCTCAACATCAAGAAACTGATTCGACAACTGGAAAGGATTAGTATAAAAATAAGTAGACACAATATGTCTATATTATTCAATCAAACAATTTTGAATGAATATATGCTACTTAAATATAAATATATATATGTGTGTGTTTATTGCAGTATCATATTCATTATTTTATATATATATATATATATAACATACACACACACACATATAAATATCAATACATGTATGTTTGTATGTATTACGATATCATATTCCTTATTCAATATATATATATATATATATATATATATATATATATATATATATATATATATATAATATATAATTGGTGTATACGGAATGAATTCCAATAACCAACAATTACTATTCTTAAAAGAGTGGTCAATATAGAGTAGAGCAGATATAATTATTTATTTAAAAAATTATAACATAAATATGTTATAAAATCACTACAAAATTAGCCATTTTGTTTCAGGTGTTGAATGTGTTGAAACAAAATGGCAATTTTTGTCGCATTTTATAACATATTTATGTTATAATTATTTAAATAAATAATTATTATATTATCAATACATCTATGTTTGTGTTTCTTACGATATCATATTCATTATTGAAATTATATATATTATATACAAGGAGGCTCGGTGGAACAATGGAGAAGAAAGAGGATTAAGATTCTGTTCTATAGCCTTTGATGGCAACTGTTCTAGAAGGACAACTCTGAATTCAAAATTTGGTGACCTTGTGTCACGTAGTGCACCGGGTCTCTGTGTTTAGCACTTCAAAACGTGTAGTTGGTTCTGCACAAAGCCTTCACCACTATAATCAAGTCATATGTGCTGGGGTTTGGGCTGACGGTTCCTGGGAACTGATCTGCCTGACCTTCATACGTCGAATACGACGGGTGTGTCCACCATATATATATATATATATATATATATATATATGTGTGTGTGTGTGTGTGTGTGTGTGTGTGTGTGTTTGTGTGACTATATGGAGATATCGTATTCGTTATTAAATATATAAATATATATATAATTGCACACGTGTCTGTGTATGTTTCTTTACTGCGATGTGATATTAATTATTCAATAGACTAATTTCCATTTACTTTGTTACTATCAATAATTCCACTATTAAAATCGGATAAAATCCTTCCGGCGGCTTTTGGAATATTAAGTCACACTGTATAATGATCGAGATCTTTTCATGACCGAGAATTAATGTGTCTACCAAACTGAATATCGAATTTCTGCTTAATCTGTTTACTTCCCGCTAACATAGGCTGGGAAAGGCATGAACCCACTTCTTACTGAACACTTTTCTCTAGTCTCCAAATGCAGATCCGCGCTTCACACAATATCGCTAGCAGCTTTCAAACAAGTAGACAATCCAGCTGCATATAGAATGTGCAGGCCTGGGAGAAAAATGCATGACCGGTAGATATATAAACATCCACCTGAGAGAGGGAAATGGAGAGTCTCTCGAACCCTAGTGAGATTTAGAATCCACGTTCGGAGGAAAACCCACGGTCACAAACCCACTGGCCGGAAGTATTTGATCGCGTCTTGTGATCTCATTAAAATGTACAAAATAACGTTTCATTTCTAAAAAAAAATCTTGCTAAATATGTCTCGTCACTTGTATGCCATGTTCACCGATACAGAAAATAATGGGTGAGTGAGAACATTAGAAAAAGCTCTTCCATAACTATCTGTTTTGATAGTAATAACAAAATGCTTTCAAATCTTTTCATATCGTTAGCAGGTTACAGACTAATTCTGTGAATTATTGCAGTTTGAATATCAGCAGTGGACCAAGACGAACGAAACTCGTACTGTTTGTCGCACAAGAAGTTGAGATGATCAACAACCTTCTTGTTGATTATAGCTTCAATGCGACTGTTTCTATACTGTGAATGAATGAGCGCTTATTCGTATTCTTGAAAACAAATCATACGATTGATTGACACTTTCCGCAGACTTGGGAAGGGTTTATCCTTCAAGCAGTGTTCAAATAATTTCTCCAAGATCTAGGATAATTCTGGATTAATATTCTTCAGGACATCTACTGGTATTTTGTCTGGACCGGTGGCCTTCTTAGGGTCAAGACTTTCGATAAATCCTGAGACTTCCCAGGCTGTAATAAAAATATTGCTGAGATTGTGCTTAGTAAGACGGGAAGGAAGACTGGAAGGGGATGTCCTTTATCAGCTAACGTAAATCGAAGTGAATGGCTTCGCCTTACCTGACGAGGATGACATGACCCCCGGACCATTTATAATAATAAACACTGGCACTTGTATTCAGAATTTAGTTAGAAATCTCCCAAGACTATCGGGATAAAATTAACTTGCTTTTAACATTGGCCTTGATTACTTAAACATAGCTAGACACTCCATTTACTAAAACTCTTGCAATAATTGTGAGCAATTCTGAATGCAGCCAGAGGTCCGTTATAAATAGTATGGTAAAGATTACAGTGAGTTATGGCTGCAACACCGTTGTGGGGGGAAAAGGTTGACTGTTCGGTTTCTACTGGAATTTATTCTGAGGTATAAAACACTCCATACCATTAAGAGTCCATACTGATAAAAGAGCATAGTTTTGGAGGCAGTAACGAAGGCTGAAAGAGGAGCTTCCTCCATGTAAGATCTGAAGCAGTCCCAGTCTGCTTTTGTCTACCGAAAAATCGTTCTATTGAACGGTCTATCTGGGGAATTTTTGGTTTGGCATCAACTTTGACACTGACTTGTGAATGGTTAGAAGTACCCAGCAGAGGCAAAAGTTCAACGAGGCATTTTTCAGGGCGGCATGTGAGGAAGAGATCAAGGAGGTTTGCTTGATGTCTCACCACATCAGGAAAGCGGAGAGATTCTTCAATGACCCGCGTTAGTTTGTAGCCGATGGATAAATCCCTGCGGTTTTTGCCTTCTTCATCAATTTTGGTCGAGTGGACTAACAACTCTTTATGGTGAAAATTAAAGTCCCGACAATATATATATATATATATATATATATATATATATATATATATAATTTAAAAATTAGGTTTCATCGCTACACAAAAATTACCATGTTTCAAAAACAGAAACTAAACTTTAAATGTCATTATAGAATTCAAATCTCTGATTTTATTTCAAGCGATTTCTGGAAATTGCTTGAAAATGAATCAGAGATAAATATTTTAAATTTAATTCTGTAATTAAATTTAAAGTTTAGTTTCTGTTTTTGAAACATGGTAATTCCTGTGTAGCGATGGAACCATATTTTGAAATTAGTAAATTTATGATGAATTTTATTGAGCACTGTTTTTTTTTTAAAATATAATTAATAAGATCACCGGATTATAAATCTTACTCTTCTTTTTCTCATTATTTTAATATATATATATATATATATATATATATATATATATATATATATATATATATATATATATATATATATATGTAGTGCAACTGGCTGTATTTGCAACTGAAGTAAAATACCATTAAGAATTAAATTAATACCACAAAAATGTCTCTCGCACAGTACAATACAACACAAGAACAAGAAAGTCTTATGAATTTTCGTTATGACGAAAATTATTCCAATTCTTTTGAAAATGGTTAAAAAATGGTTGAGCCAAAATTGCTCAGCGCGACAAACACTGTCGACCAATTCCTCGCTCCCTTAGTCTTGAGAAATGAAGATACGAGTAAATCGGAACAAATCTTGCAAAATATTCCTTGTCCGTCATATTTTTAACACAACATACACACACACACATGCCCAAAAATATAAAATAAAATATAGCTGAAAAAGACAAAGTAAATGAAGACAAAAGAAAATCTCTCCTTTTTAATCCTGATTTTAGTTCCCTGGGGAACTTTCAAGAGGTAAATGCAAGAATTTTATTTTGCTACATAGATTTATTTTATGAATACAAAATAAAATCCTTATATTTACCTCGATAAAGTCCCGCAGGGGAAAACGCATCGGTAAAGAAGTTGTCTTTATTCACACACAGGGACAGACACGCACACACACACACAGACGCACACACACTCACATATATATATGCACACATACATATATATACACACACACACGCATACATATGCACACACACAGACATATATATATACATGCGCATACATATGCACACACATATACTTATATATATATATTTTGTGTATTTAGGCAGTAATACTTCATTTATGCATGTTTCATTAAAAATGACAGACAAGGTACTACGGTTAAGCTTTTTATTTAATTTTTCTGTGTTCAAAAATGTTTTCTTTCTTGGACACAGAGTGTGTAGAAACTGTCCAAATACTTATAGCCATTATCAAGAATGGTTTTATTTTTGCTTTTTAATTGGGTGCATGGGTCGTGTATATGTTTTTAGAGTTATTAGGATGTTTTATTTTCCGAACACAGTCAGCACATTGTGGCCGTATTCGTAGTTAATATTATTAATTTTTGGCTTTTTCCTTTTTATTAAGACTTCCATTATTTTTCATCTTTTTTCTTTACATGTAGATGAAGTTATTATATTTGTATTTTCTGCTAGTATGTTTCGGATGGAGTCTGGTAAGTTTGTGTTTGTGTTTAAATGGGTTCTAATAGAGTTGTGGTTAGATAAGTGTAACCAATAGGCGTCTGGATAGGCATGTAGTCGTGTGACCGATGTAATTATTTATGAATTTCGATTTGATCAGGAACACAGATCCTTATGGGTCATTTGAACTCATAAATAATTTTCGTTCCTTGTAATTTTGATTTTACTGGTTTGTTGTTATTTTTGAGGATAACGTTAGCTGTCTTAAATTTTTTGTAGTTGATAATTAATTTCATTTTTTTATTCGGCTCGTTCGGGTTCGTGTATTTCTTTATAATATTTCTAAGTGAAGATTCATCTTGTTTGTAGTTAATGTGCATTTGCTTTTTGTGAAAAATATTTATGTAATTTTTGACTGCATGTTCACTATCGTTGTTATTTATTTTGGGGAGAAATAGTCTAATTTGGTGATCTATAACGTGGTTAGGGAAGCCATTGTTGGTGTGTTTTACATTATTGAGTTCTTTAAGGAAGAGTAGTCGAGAGGATGAATTCTGGTGTACTCTTTTTAGAAAGTTTTTTATTACTGCTATTTTGTATCCGAGTGGGCATTCACTTTTAAAGTTAAGGTGGCAAGAGTTTTTGCGAGTAGGCTTTTTATATAATGAGGTGGTAAAAGTGTTGTTACTATATTCTACCAGAACATCTAAGAATGGGAGTTTCTTTTTTTTTTGACTAAGTTCGTAGGTAAAGTTAAGGACAAAGTTTGTTTTTTTTAGATATAGTCTTAAGAGTATCTAATTCTTTAGTGCTACTTGTTAAAATAATAATATCGTCTACGTAGCGGATATATATTTTATGTTTACAGACCTGTTTAAATATATTTTCTACATGGGAAATGTAATAATTAGAAAAGAGATATCGAAGAAGCCAGTTCGAATTCCAGTCGGATTCGTTACATTCATTTAAGAATGTTATAATTCCATCTTCTCCTCTCGGCTATGGGTTAAATAGTATCTGGAAAATTATTGTTATTCTAAAAAAAATAGTCAATGCAATATTGACTTAGTAAAATAATGGATATTTCTTACAATTCAAAATATGTTTCTTCATTAAATAACACACAAAGGGGTGATAAACCGTAAAAAAGGAATTGATTTATTTTCCAACCGAGAGCTCCTTTCCCAGAATTGCAAGGTAGCAAGCCTTTCGCTATTCTGTCTCAAATGTTCCGACGTGCTCTATTCTTTAGAGCCACTCGTTCAGAACTTTACAGCCAAGATCAAATCACCCACGACCGTCTGTATTCCTTTGCCAATCAGGGTGTTCTATTTGGAAAATCTCTTTTGAACTACTGTATCATTGTAGAACAGTCTTCAACGAGAATGCTTTCAAGAAAGCTACAAACTTAACCTCTTCCAGTTCAGAGTCAGTTTTCTATCCACCATATCTTCGTAATTTTCATTTCTTACTTCCTCCTCTTGCCACACACTTAACTCAGTAATCCTCTAGCTTAAGTGGCTCTTAGGCCTTGTATCGATTGAAATTTATTTTCAGAAAAGATGAGAACAACACTTCTTCTTTTCCAATGTAATCGTTCTTTATTTTGTTTTATGCGTTTACTATCAAAACAGTTTATCCGCTAATTTTATATTAAAGCCTGTCGGCCGATAATAAATTCTAGAACTTCTAGTTCTCTTAGTATCGTTTTGCTGTACGGGGGTAAATATTTACTTTGCCATCTTTTTTTCTATTTTCTTATCTTCTATTTTTGCTTTCTTTCTTTACTCTCAATACATATTTTTTCTTTCTTTCTTGCTTTCTTTCTTTTTAACTTTCTTTTTTTTTTTAGTTCTATCTCCCGTTTTTCTTAATATCGTTTACTCTCAATACATAATTCATTCTTTCTTCCTTCCTTCCTTCCTTTCTTTCTTCCTTTCTTTCTTTCTTACTTTCTTTCTTTAGTTCTTTGCCCCGTTCTCCTTCGTAATCATTACTCTCACTACATATTTCTTTTTTCTTTGTTTCTTTCTTTCTTTCTTTCTTTCTTTCTTTCTTTCTTTCTTTCTTTCTTTCTTTCTTAAGTTCTGTTTCCGCTATTTCTTAATAACCTTTCATATCATTATATATTTATTCATTTATTTATTCATTTATTACTTTCTTTCTTTTTTGTTTCTTTCTTTCTTTCTTTCTTTCTTTCTTTCTTTCTTTCTTTCTTCTATAGTGTTTTCCGTTTTTCTATGTAACCTTTACTCTCAGTACATATTTCTTCTTTCTTTCGTTCTTTCTTTCTTTCTTTTTTTCTTTCTTTCTTTCCTTCTTCTATACTGTTTTCCGTTTTTCTATGTAACCTTTACTCTCAGTACATATTTCTTTCTTTCTTTCTTTCTTTCTTTCTTCTATACTGTTTTCCGTTTTTCTATGTAACCTTTACTCTCAGTACATATTTCTTCTTTCTTTCTTTCTTTCTTTCTTTCTTTCTTTCTTTCTTTCTTTCCTGTTTTCATTCTTACTTTCTTTCTTCAGTTCTCTTTCCTATTTTTCTTAATAACCTTTACTCTAAGTACATATTTCTTTCTTTCTTTCTTTTTTCTTCATTTCTGTTTCCCGTTTTTCTTAATATCTTTTACTCTCACCACATATTTCTTTCTTTCTTACCTTCTTTCTTTCTTAATTTGTTTCTTTCTTTCTTTCTTTCGTCTGTTGTGTTTCCATTTTGTCTTAATAACCCTTTCTCAGTCAGTATCATCTGTGAATCGTATATTAAGTTTACGGCAGTTGAGAATAAAAACTGCTGTAATCGTTTCTCTGTATATGTTAAATAAATCCGACAGCAAAATGCTTCCCTGTTTTACAAGAAATGTAAAACGACTTTTAGCTTTAAACAAAAAAATATCCATATGCTGGTTTATATGTGTCTGATACTAAAGCAAAATCTTGATTAGTTTTCAACAACGTAACGCACGAAAATATTCCTTGCGAAACAAGAAATATTCGACTTCATCTAACTTCCTGTTCTTCTCATGTTTCTGTCGCCTAAATCTTCGACTTTGCAGTCAGTTGTAAATGAAGAAGCGGATGTGTTCGCTGGATTATGTAAAGTCCTTAGAAACAGCACGCGTTAAACAGATTATTAGCGATCTGCCGTGATCTTGTCAGATCAATGATAACTAATATCAATTTGGTAAAAATGCACCGAGACAAGTCTACCAATATTTTATTACAGCTGACATTATCTTTATAAAACCGATGCCAGAGTCTCTCTGAAGTCATGAGTTTTGACAGAATTCAGTACGTAAACCTGGCAAAATAAACAATTTACAGATTTTGTGTTGATATTTGGCATCGCAGAGCAGATGGAACAAATGGAAATGCAAGGTCATCACAAATCGCCCTGCTTTGACAGATTATGCAAGTAGCAAAAGTCTTCAGTATATCTAAAAAAAATCGTTCACATCTGCGGGCAATTTTATATAATTCCCATTTTTGAAAACTATAAATATTCTTGTTGTGCTCTGAAGAATTGGACAGAATAAATTAGATTTTTCTACAGGCTTCCATTAATTTCAAGCATCTTTTAATTTTTTTTCTTTTTATTCCGTCTTCGATTTAGATTTCCTTTCTTTCTTTTTTCTAATTTTTAGTTTTCTAGTTTCTCTTTCTTTCGTTATTTCTTTCTTTCCATCTTCGTTTAGTTGTATTTCCCGTTTTGATTAATATCCTTTTTCTCTCACTACATATTTCTTTCTTTTTTACTTTCTTTTTTTTTTACATTCTTCCTTCAATTTTGGCCGCATTTTTTCTTTTTCTTTTTCTCACTACATTCTTCTTTCTTTATTTAATTCTTAGATTCTTTCTTACTTTATTTATTCCTTCCTTCCTTTTCGTCTTGTCTTTTCCCATATTTCAAACTTCATTCTTTCTTCTCACTACCCTCTCTAATTCTTTCTTTCTTCTTTTCTTTTTTATTTCCTTTATTTTTTTCACTTGTATGATTCTTGTTGCGTTGACTTTTTTGTTAATGACCACTATTTCAAATACTTTCTTTCTTTCTTTCTTTCTTTCTTTCTTTCTTTCTTTCTTTCCCACTCTTTTCCGCATCCTTTCTACATTCTTTTATGTCTTTCTCACGTTTTCATTCATTCTTTCTTTCTTCAGTTTTGTTTCCCATTTTTCTTCATATCTTTTCTACTGATTACATATTTCTTTTTTCTTTCTTTCTTTTTATTGTCTTGTATTTTTCGCTTGTCCATTTTCTATTTTTTCTTTATTCTCTCTAACCTCTATATTCCTTTTTTTTCCTTTTTTTCTTTCATTCTCTTTTTATTTTTTGCACTTCACTTGTGTTTTTTCTTTCTTTTACGTTTTCTTTCTTGTTAATGCAATCCTTTTCACATACCGATTTCTTTTAGCCTTTCTTTCTTTTTTCTTTCTTTCTACTCTTTTATTGGCTTGGTGCATAATTATCAGGCTTTTTTGTAATCGAGTTATTTGTTAATAAAAATTGCTGTTTTTTTAATAAAAAAATATCATTTTATTTTCAGCTTATATAATTGAGGTTGATGGTGACTACTCTCCGGAATGTTTCTTTTTTCATAAAAAAATATTGTTGAAAAACGCCTGATAATTATGCACCAACCCAATCACTTTCTTTCCAGTTTCTTTCTAACTTCTTTTTGTCTTTCTTTCATTGTTTCTTTCATTCTTTCTCTCTCTTCCTTTCTTTCTTTCTTTCTTTCTTTCTCTCTCTTCCTTTTTCTTTCTTTCTCTTCCATTTTCTTTTTTTCTTTCTCTTACTTTTTCTTTCTTTCTTTCTTTCTTTCTTTCTTTCTTTCTTTCTTGTTTCCAATTACGATTCGTAAGCCATAACACCGCCAGCACATCCAAGCCTACAGCAGCTGGTATTCCCAAGCAGTCACTCATCTAGGCACTAACAAGGATCGACGTTGCTTAACTTTGGTGATATTATGTTTCTTTCTTCGATTTATTTTAGCCTTGCTTTCTTTCTTTCGCTTTCTTTTTTCTTTCTTTCCTTCCTTCTTTCTTTCTTACTTTCTTTATCTCCGATTTCCAATTACGAATCGTTAGCCAATACACCAGCCGCACATCCAAGCCTACAACAGCTGGTAATCCCAAGTGGTCACTCATGTAGACAGTAGCAAGAATCGACATTGCTTAACTTCGGTGATCGTTCAACGTTCCTTAACATCGGTGGTCAAATGCACAAATATCTTTGGGAAAAATATGAATCCACCTCTTTCTCTCTCCCCTGTAATGGATTAAATAGATTCATATGGTTAAACAAGTATTATCTCAAAGAAAATTATTCTTACAATATAAAATAATTTTGGCTTTAAATAACTTTCAAAGGGTTGATAAGCCTTAGAAAACAAATTATTCAGTCAAATTATCTCCCTTGCCAACAATAAAAGATAAAAGAATTGACAGAGAAAGATGTGAAAATACAATTTGCTTTTTTTTAAGATTTTTCAATCAAAAAAATCAAAAAAATGCAAAGCTTTCTCCTCCTCCTTATTCCCCTTCCCTGTTTTGTTTGGCTCTGCAAATATTCTTCACTACGCGCTGTGTTTGGTGCCGTTCGAGTTGATGGGAAAGGCCCATAATGCAAGATAACCGGTTGAAAATGAAAAATACTACTAAATAAGACATCGTGATCAAAGACTACAAAAACAAAATGTATCTTTGAAGATATTGCAAAAACTATCAAAATACAAGAATCTTGAAGTGAAAATCTCAAAAATATGGAACATGAGGGCATCAATAACTCCAGTTGTAGTTGGAGCCTTCGGAACGATTGGAAAAAAGGTTCTGACAGACTAATTGATGGGATTCCTGGTAGCTCATGCCTTAAAGAAATACAGAAAATTGTTTTCACGAGCACAACCCACACCTTACGAAGGACTTTATCTATGTAATATATATATATATATATATATATATATATATATATATATATATATTCATGTTTCATTAAAAAAGACAGACAAGCTACTACGGTTAAGCTTTTTGTTTAATTTTTCTTGTGTTCGAACAAGAGCTTTCTTTTCTGGACAAAGGGTGTGTAAGAACTGTCAAAAATGTTTTATATTTCCGAGAGCTTTTGGCTATACCTTTAGCCATTATCAAGGATGATTCGATGTTTCAGATTTAAGTGAGTGTGTGCATTATGTGTATGTCTTAGTGTGTGGTAAGGATGTTTTTAATTTCCGAATACGGTTAGCACATTGTGGCTTTGTTCGTAGTTAATATTGTTAAGAGTTGGCTTTTTCATTTTTTATTATTAAAGCTTCCATTATTTTTAATCTTTTTTTGCAGGTGGATGCAGTTAATATGTTTGTGTTTTCTACTAGTATGTTTCTAATGGAGTCTGGTAAGTTTGTGTGTGTGTTTAAATGGGTTCTAATGGAGCTGTGATCAGATAAGTGAAACGTAAGACGTCTGGATAATATAAAACATTTGGACAGTTCTTGCACACCCTTTGTCCAGAAAAGAAAGCTCTTGTTCGAACACAAGAAAAATTAAATAAAAACCTTAACCGTAGTACCTTGTCTGTCGTTTTTAATGAAACATGCATAAACGAAGGATTGCTGCCTAAATATACAGCTATATATATATATATATATATATATATATTCAGTGAAAAATGTCATGATGCCATTTCTAACCTTATGTCTCTGGGTGGGACCCGAAAAGAAATGTGTTCACACCAGAAATCAAAGGAAGTAATAATAATAATAATAATAATAATAATCCATTTCTAACTTTAGATCTCTGGTTGGTACCCGGAGGAAATGTATAGAAAATACAACAGAAATCGAAGGAAATAAGAATAATAATTATGATAATAATAATAATAAGAAGAATTCGGCATGAAAGAGTGGGACAATATCTGCACTGGAAAATAAGGACTGAACTGCAAGAATCTGGTATGAACATCACCCAGACACGGTTACAGACATAGGACCTGTAACAATTTTATAGGACTTTACAATAGACACAGACAGAGCAATTTCTTATTTCCGTGATTTCTTATTTGCCATCTTCTTAATACTTGTGCTTTTATTGCCCTCTCTGTCTCTTTAATAGTAGTTTTTTTCTCATATTCTCTAACACTCGGTAACCTCTTGCGTCCTAGTAACTTTATTGTCTTGCTTGTAGTTAAATAATTAAAATTATTACCTAGTTTTAATCATTACATACATTTAGACATGATGTGCAGGATGCGGCAGAAATACCTCCTACATATACCTCCCAGAATTACATCATACATAATGGTAATACATTAGTGGCAATGCTCTTCATCTAGCTAATGTAGTAATTATTCTTGATATATAAAAAAAATTAAATATCATTATCCCATATATATATATATATATATATCGCTCACCCTTTCACTGTCGAAATACACAAATATATATATATATATATATATATATATATATATATATATATATATAATCGAATCTCCGTCGGATTCGACGTATGAGGGTCAAGCAGATCAGTTTCCAGGAAACTGACAGCCCGACACCGGCACATGAGATTTGATTATAGTGGTGAAGGTTTCGTGCAGGACCATCGACACTTTTTGAAGGGACGAATACAGAGACCTGGTGCACCGAATGCCACAAGGTTTCCAAACGACCCTCCGCAGGTTTTGAATTCAGAGTTGTCCTTCTCCTAGACCAGTTGCCATCCAAGGCTATAGAACCCAGTCTGTCCTGCTATTTTACCCATATTTTTTCCCAAGGGTATTAGCACGTAAGTGAATGTAATGGATTCAACCTGGATTCAAACTCGGCTCTCCTATTCCTCTCTCTCTGTCTCTCTCTCTATATATATATATATATATATATATATATAGATAGATAGATAGATAGATAGATAGATAGATAATATTAGTGGTAAATATACACATACATATGCAAAATATATAAATATATATACATTCATGCATACATATACATATATATATTTTTAATAAAAAATTCCCAGAGGATAGAATCCAGGTAGAACTCAATGTCCAAGACAGAGTAAGGATATAATAAAAATGCTTAAACACTAAAGCCTTTTTATTATATATATATATATATATATATATATATATATATATATATATATATATATAAAAACTAGCAAAACTGTCTAAATCATGCAAATGGGACATTGTCAAATTGTTAGATTAAGATCTTAAGCGTTGTATTTTAAAATGATTAAAAGATTTGTTACTGAAATTCTCCGAGGTTTTTATAACACTATTGAACTCTACGTGGAACAATAAGAATGTATTTATTGCTAAGCTGAAATGATGAGCCCTCTTGCTGTTGTGACCTTCTCATCCAGTTTTCCTCTCTACTTTTCCATCTGTTTTAAAATTATTCATCATTCTCTTGATGCTTCTTGAATGGACTTTAAAGATGGAAGCTAGAGTATGAATATTGGTACCATTACTGACAGGCTGAATAATCTTTTTCCTCTCAACATTGTTCAGTTGGGAAGACAGTTGGGATGATATAAAACGATTTTAATCTCTTCTCTTTCTAACTGAATAACTCAAAGAGGTTTTCACCGATTCTTACGACAAACGGTGTCAAGATGGGTTATTGTCTTATCTGAACACCTGGAAAAAAAAAACTCAAACAGTTTAGTAGTTTTTTAGATATTAAAAATTTTGTGGGATGGACAATTATGCCATGCAGTTATGCAATTTGCAGAAATCTTGCTGTTACACACGCTATATCCCATTGTCCCATTATTATATATATATATATATATATATATATATATATATATATATATATATATATATATATAATAAAGAAAGGATTGTAGACGGAATAAAATTGCAATAACCAAAACCGCTATTCTTAAAAGAGTGCTCAATACACAGTAGAGCAAATATTATTTATTCAAAAATTATAACATAAAAATGTTATAACATCACTACAGATAAATAGCCATTTTGTTTCAACACTTCTGGTGTCTTATAAAGTGATGGTGTTGAATGTCATTGAACACCATTATTACATGCTTATGTTATAATTTATGAACACACACACACACACACACACACACACACACACACACACACACATATATATATATATATATATATATATTTATATGATACAAATATAATTAATTAACCCATAGCTGAGGGAGAAGTGATGGTTTCATACTTTCCCCAAGCGTTTATTCGCGTAAGTAAATATAATGAACCCAACGGGAAATGGAACTCCGCTGTCCGATTAACAACACCGAGCCCTTATCCATTACATCATGCGCACATTGAAGCTTACAACACCTACTATTCCGAAGCTGTCACCCATTTAGATAATGACCAGGTCGACGTTCCTTAATTTCGGTGATCGTACGGGTGCCAGTGTTTCAATATAATGTGGCCGTAATCCTATGTTAGATTGTGAGCCAATTTTGCAAAACAACGAATTGCGTTTGAAAGCTTTCGAGATTCTGTTTTCATTTAAGTTTTGACTTCGTAAGGAAATTACAATTTGCCTTTTGATATTTAATGAAGTAAATTTGAGCTAGCATAAATGAAGAGAATTGCGTTGGCAAGATTACCGTATTTTTTGAAAACGGTCACCAATTAAGTACTTTCCAATACGTTGCTTAAATTCAGCAAATTGTACGGGAACCAATGTTTGAACGTGATGTAAACCAGCTACTTAACAACAGATATGACTAATTTGAACGTATTAATTGTATTAGCAAGGATCCTACCTTCAATTCGAGAAGCATTTCCGGACAAACCTTTTAAGCATCGGCCATCATTGATTTGCATTGAATAATTATATATATATATATATATATATATATATATATAGCACCAA